TCTTTTTGCCCCAGCTGCTCTGGCCGGGGAGTGGTGTTACTCCATGGTGGCGGCAGGGCTGCCTGCAGGGTGCCCTTGTAGGTCCAGGGCGTGGGTAGAGGCATCCATCTCTCCTTGTGTAGCTTTGAGTGCCTGCACAGTACTTAATAGGCAACTGCACAGCCACACATCTTGGAGGGAACGTAGGTGCAAGCCCATATTAAGTTTGGACCTTGAATTGCTTTTCTGTGTGCATGTGTCCTTGGCTTGAATTGAATCTCTGAGGTCTTGCAGATACACCCCAAAGTTCTTTGAGGCAAATTTTCTTTTTCTCTCTGTACTGATAATCTGTGGTGCAGTCTGCAAATGGAAGCCATGTCTCCGTTCTGTAGTAGCTCAGGTCACTGTTAACCCATTGTCTGCTGAACACTGATCTGCAAGTACACTTTCAAACCAAAGTTTTTAATGGAGAGTGGTCAGAAGAAGCTTTTTTGCGAAGAGTTGCTTCCTAGTCATAAGAGCAGAGTCAGATTTTCAGTGCACATTGCCTTCTTTTGTGTACACAGCCCAGATGGTTCCAGGAGCAAGGGCCAGAGAACGGGGACTATGCAGGTGCCCTTCAGGAAAAAGGAGTTACAGAACTCCTGGCTCTACATGGCTAGGGAAAGCTGGTCCCCAACACCCTAGTTGCTTCCACTCTCTGGGGCATAGCTGCTTGGTTCCTGCTCTTGTCTCTGCCCATGGTTTGGGGGGGGGGGGGGGAGGAGGGGAGAGGGAAGAATGCTGGAGCACACTATACTGTAAGCCCTCGGGAATCACTTAATCTCTCTGCAGTTGGGTTGGTGTGGGTGTGTGTTCCTCTTACACTTGTATTTTATAATAGAGATTAAAAAAACAGCCAAACAAAAACACCTTTATTGAGAACCCACTTTAAAAATTAAAAATTGCAGAGCTTCATTTTAACACTTGGACAGCCTGGAACTGATGACCAAATTATCCTGTGAGCAGGTGCACATGGGCATTTCCCTACCATTATGACTCTCCCTCGAGGTGGAGAACCATGGTAGATGAGTATAAATTTTTCTCAGATAGCCACCAAAGGAGCTAACTATGCAGTTATGCCTGCATTCTATCAAGAACACCTTCACAGTTAGGGTACGTCTAGACTATAGGGTTTTGTCGACAGAAGTTTTGTCGACAGATACTGTTGACAAAGAGCGTCTAGACTACATTCAGTTCTGTTGACAAAGCAAGCTGCTTTGTCGACAAAACCCTGTAGTCTAGACACAGCCCTACATGCAATAACACCTTCTGTCAACAGAACTCTGTCGACAGAAGGCGTTATGCCTCGTAAAATGAGGTTTACCAGCGTCGACAAAACTGCTGAGTTCTGTCGACGTTATGTCGACAGAACTCAGCGGTAGTGTAGACGCAGGTATAGTTTTGTCGACAAGTCCACTTTTGTCGACAAAACTCTGTAGTCTAGACACACCCTTAGAGTGGGCATTAGTGTTAAAATGCAGTGGAGACAGTCAGCTGACTCAAATCCTGTTAACCCTTGATTGGCATTGCTTTATAGAAATATTCTTAGTACAGTAATTTTCACAGAACGGGTGACCAGATGAATAGTGGGGGTGCTAAACCCATATTCCTGCCTGTCCTGGCACTGCGGACCATGCTGCGTCTTGGAAGTGGTCCGCAGCAGTTCTGGCTCCTAGGTGGAGGCAAGTAGCCAACTCTCAAGATGATAAAATCAAATCGAGCCAGTCATAGATGTGCGCAGCACATTTCATTAGGGTGTGCTCTCAAAGAATTTTTTTAAAATGTACTCTTTGACACACCTCTGGGGGTAATATTTTTGGGGCAATTTGGACACAGAAATAAAAGTTGTCATGTGACACCCCTCCTCCCCAAGGACTTTTCCCACCATCCTCTTACCAACAGGGATTAGTTTGGCCCTCACCAACCCCTACTCCTCCCATGCCACTATCCTGCAATTCCTTTAACCCAGTATATGTGACATTAACTCAGGGGGTGGAGAGGTTTGGGGAAGTGTCCCCTCTAAGAGTTGCGTCCCATGAGCACAATAAATTTTGTGTTGTGCACCAGTACTGAGTTTGTGGCTTGTTTGAATGTGCCACTGTGGCACCCAAGTTATTAATAAGTATCTTATAAACCTCTACCCTTTCCCTCTGCTGCCATTTCTCCTCCCCTTGCTCCATCAGCTCCCCTGGTGCCTGCTGCCTCCCTACCCCCAACCCCTCACCCTCCTCTGCTGTCCTGACTCCTGCCCTTCTCACTGCCCTCAGCTTTCCTGAGCCCTGCCCCCCTCCACCAGCCCCTCTCCTCCTGTGCCCATTCCTCCAATAGCCCCATGCTGATCATGTGAGCATCCCCTCTCCTAACACCTCCCACTACACACCTGCCCTGCCTCTCTCCACTGGTGCTGGTCCCTCCCCTGCAGGTGTCTGCCCTTCTACTTCACCCCCAGAATCCCCTGCATCTTCCCTTACCCCTGCACCCTCCTGGTGCCTCCCCCTTCCCTTACTGCCCCTGCCCCCTTTGCCCTCTTTTTTCCTT